TCAAAGTAACCAAGAAATGAGTTCATTAACCCTACACTCTCTTTTTTACTAGAGTGATCCCGAGAATCTAAATTGTTATTTAATATATTTGACTGCTGTTCCAAATTCTGAAGTGACAGTTTCAACTCAATATTAGTGTGAACGGGCTCGTATTTCTGTATTAAAATCGTACGATAAGAAAGATTGTTATTTATTATTTATTTATTTATTTATTTGTTTTTAAAAAAGAGAATATTTGAATTTTTTTATTTGAAAACTGTTTTAGAATCAAAGGATAATTTCCATACAAAATCAAAATCTAAAGATATTTTAGAAACATGGGTCGCGAATTAGATGTTCCAGAAAAATCCGATGTCTTATTTAACGTTAAAGATGAAGTTGTAAATCAATATTATCAAGTCGTTTCGAATGTTTTTCAAAGGTCAATGGGCGGAAATGTCAGAGGAAAAAACAGATTCATTATCATCTAGTTTATTTTATAATGTTGTCGATGTTACAGTGATGTGCAAAAAAAAATAGCAATTTTTTAAATCACGTTTATTCAATAACGGTTACACCAATTAAAGTTATAATGCATCATTTTAAAGCCAATAAACAGTATATTTTATTAAAAGATTTAGTATGATATTTTTTCACTTACAGCGCTGTGGCATTGAGTTTACAAGATTAATTAGAAGACTATCTGGAATATTCCTCCACTCCTCCCCCCAAAAAACACTCTAATTCATCAAGGATTTTTGGCCTACATTCCTTTTAACAATTGCCCAAGGGTTTCAATGGGATTTAGGTCTGGACTATTAGAGGGCAATCCATAACTTCCGGAAGATTTTTTAGCAAGAAAATCCTTAGCAAGTTTACTAGTATGCTTAGAATCATTGTCCTGCTGTAACCGTACTTCCGGGATGTTTTTTTAATATCTCCGTGTAGAATTCTCCATTCAATATACGCCTGAAACAAAAAAGGCTGCTGGTACCCTTTACACAAATCCACCTCAGGCAAATATTTTACTACGGTCCTTTGACATTGGACGAATTGGCCTTGCATTTTTATACCAATGCTTTGTCGTATTACGGAACAATTCGAAAGCCGTTTCATCACTAAATAGTGTCATTTTCCAATCATCATCTTTGTGTTTTTGGGCCCATTCAACTCGGTTTTTGTTTATGGATTGTATTTAGCATTGGTGGCGAAGAGGAAGTGCATTTCGATATCAAGGCCAGCCAAATATCTCGAAACTGTTGAGCGGAAGACTTCTACTCCTATATCTTCCAATTTGGCAACAACAGACCCAGCAGAAATTGAAGGTTCCCTTCGAACAAACTGCTCAATTTCCCGGGATGCGTGTTGGGTTATTTTTTTAATGCGTCCACTACCACTTTTACGTTTGACATCCCAATCTTTTCTATTTTTTTTTATTTTTTTAAGGTTGTTATATATTGTCCTAAGTGAAATCTTTGTTTTTGAATGTGTTTCGGCAGCATTGCGTATTCCTTGCTCCCAGAAATGTAAATTGTTTTTGTTGCTTTTCTTGCTTTGAAGAAGTCATTTTAACTCTTGATAAATTAAAGTTCTTACAAAATTGGATTAGTTACACTTGTCGATCTATTTTCAAAAAAATTGCCATTTTTTTGCATTCCACTGTTTCGTATTCTATGAAATGTTAAGAGCAGATGAAGTTCGATTCAATATTGTATCAACCATTGAACTTTTTAAATTAGCTTGACAAGTATCATTTGTCAAATTTACGACAGAATGCTAATGTTAAAATCTTCAAAAGATTAAATACGATGAATGCAATGCATCCTTTTATTTAACGAGGCTGGAAATGGAATGATCTTAAATGGATTTCATTTTCAAAGAAATTACAAGAAACCATGAATTTAAAAAGTTGTCGGTTGAGAATAAGGGTTATCCTGCGGGAATAAGTTGTTGAAAAAATCAAATCATTAAAATAAAGCGATTATTGGCATTTGTTGTTTATGAAAATTATAATATAGCGATTGTTTTTTAACAAGAAAAAATTTTTTTTTTTTTTTTTTAATAAAAATAATTTCGGATTAGAAAGTTCATTTAAAAAAAATATATATATGGGAGGTAAGCTATTAAAATCATGTTACGGATCATATGATTTACTATGTTCTTAACTCGATATTAATAGCAAACCTCCCATATATTAAATCTTTTATTTAATTTTAAGTTTGTAAGATAAAAATAAAAATATTCAATTAACGGAACCAAAAAAAACAACAAAACAATTAATTTTGTGTTTCTCGGTTTTTCCATCCATTTCGGATTCCTGAAGCGGATGAAATTAACTAATATAATAAATAAAATTATGAGGTAAGATTATCTTGTTAAAAATGTTTATCGTTTGTAATAATTTAAAATAGAAAAAAATTTGCCTGTTCTTCAGTGATCCCATCAAATATACTTTGTTTTATTTTTTCAATTACAGTATAATGATTTGCGTGTGGTAGATCATAACGAAACCTTTTAAATCTCCATGGTGGATTCATTGAAGGGCTATAAACTACTTCAACAATACGTCCTTCATATTGTTGAAAATCATGTTTCCAACTTTATGAAACATTTGGTTAATCAACATTGTTATCTATGAATAAATTCAGTAAAGTCGGTAATTACTTACGACTGCTCCTACTCTTCATCGGTAACATACATATCATCAAAATATCTATGAACATTCATCCATTTATAAAGACAAAATCTCGGTTTATTATTCTCGTTATGGCAGTTAAAATCGAAACATAATTTAAGGTCAATGGAATTTTCATTTGGTGGTTTCCATTTTAATATTTGCTCTGCCAAATAACCCGATTTTAATGATGTAAAAATTAACCCATCTCTGTTGTGCTTTAAAGATGGTATAATTTGTTTTAAAACTTTTTTCTAGTCCATAAGAACGTTCCATTTCTTTAATTACTACACTTTTTGAATTAAATTTTTTCATGTATGAAAAAACAAAAAGGTTAGTATTGATCATTTAAGTGACAGGTGATTGGAGAAAAAATAATAACAATAATACTTACTTAAATGGTCGCATTCGCGCAAGTTCCGGACGTTTACGCAGCATTTTTTCATAGGGTCGCATAATAAATTCATGAAGACACTTTTAAAATTAAAGAATTGTAATTAATATAAATAGAATTATAATATAAGTTTCCATAATTTATGCAACTTACACCCAATCTTTTGTTAAGAGGCTTATTCATGTAGTTCGTTTTATCCATTACTAACAAATCAAAAACCAAGAGCTTTGGCGTAATCTAAATAAG